CCCCCCCAAGCTGCTGTTTGGGGTCAAACGTCAGCACATGGCCTTGGCCGGGCCTCGGCACCGTGCTATCCCACTCCGGGACACCCCTGAACCCCCCACAACCGGAGCCACCCTCTGCAGGGTTCGTGTCCCCATTAAGGACCAGCAGGGCGGTGCTGGGGAGTGATTGGGGGGGGGAGGGGGGAAGGAGGTGCAGTGCGTCCAATGGGGCTGAGCACCGGGGGGGGGCACTGATGGGGCTCAGAATCCCCGGGAATCCTCCTGCACCCTTCCTGCATCATCCCTACATCCCTCCCTCCTGCATCCTTCCCCATATCTCTGCCTGCACCCCTGCCTGCATCCTCCTGCATCCCACTGCTTCCCTCCTGCATCTCTGCCTGCATCCCTCCCGCATCCCTGTGTCCTGCATCCTCCTTTATCTCTCCTCCATCCCTGCCACCATCCCCGCCTGTTTCCCTCTTTCATCCTCCTGTATCCTTCCCCCCCCCCCCCCCCCCGCCTTTGTCTCCTCTCCATGTCCCCGCTTCCCCCCTTCCCACCCCCCCAAAGCTGGCAGCGTGAGGGCGGAAGCGGCGCCCGAACAGCCTCAGGCAGCGTGACGTCATCCCTCCGCCTCGAACCAATCAGAAATAGGGCTGAGGCATAAAACCCGCCTCTGTCCCTCAGACAACCAATCGGCGCGCGGCGGTGGGCGGGGCGAGGAGGGGGAGGGCGGGGCGTTGCGCGGGCATGGCGCTGCGGAGGGCGCTGAGAGCGGCGGGCCGGAGGTGGGGGCAGCTTGGGGTGGGGGGGCACCTTAAGGGAGGGGGGGCGGCGGCTCTTGGCAGGGGATCTTCTGGGGGGGGTTGGCCCCATGGGTGCAGAGGGCGTGGGGAAGGGGTGCAGTTGTATGGGGAGGGGGTGCACAGTGCACCGGGGGGGGGCGGACGCTCCTGGATTTGGGATTGGGGAGGGGGGGGTGCCTGGGGAGGGGGTGTGCGCCGGGCCCGGGGTGCGCGGGGGAGCGCGTTGTTGGTTGAATGGGGTTGGGGGTCGTTGCATCTCCGTGCTCCTTTTTGGGGTTTGTCCCCACGTGGAGCCCCCCCACCCCGCCCCCTGCAAGGTGTGCGCAGCGCCTGTGCTCGGTGGCACCGGGGGACACCATCTTCGCCGTCTCCTCCGGACATGGACGCTGCGGGGTGGCCGTCATCCGTACCAGCGGGCCGGGCAGCGGGGGGGCCATACGCAGCCTCACCGGGAGCTCCGAGCTGCCCCCCCCTCGCGTTATGGCCCTACGGCGCATCCGGGACCCCCGCACCGCAGAGCTGCTGGACCGCGGCCTCGTGGTCTGGTTCCCAGGTGGGGGCTGGGGGAGAGAAAGGGGTGTGTGGGGGCTGGGGGGGGGTGGGGGGCTGTGGCCCCTCTGAGGGTCTCAGTGGGGGGGTGCCGTGGAGGGCTCTGTGTTATCGGGGTCTGGGTATGCAGTAGGGTCTTCTTGGGCCCTAGAAGGGGCTGTTGGGTACCCGGAGTTGGGGGTGTCTGGGTGCCCATCGGGTGGATCGGGGGTTTGGTGTGGGTTTAGGTGCCCACGGGGGTGGATCTCAGTGCCCAGTGAGGTTTGGTGGGGGATCAAGGGGATCAGTGCAAGTTCTGGGTGCCAGGTGGGGGTCTGGCCGTCATCCCAGCCTGCTGCAGCCCCTCTTGGCTTCCCTGGCACCGCTGAGCGCAGACAGCTCCAGCGATGCTCCAGCATCAAACGCTGCCCCATTGCACCGACCCCGTGCAGCCGTGGGCTCGGGGTCTCTCTCTCTCTCCCCCCCCTGCCCCTGTGGGATTGAAGGCGTTCCCCGTGCTCTGCAGGACCCCAAAGCTTCACCGGGGAGGACTGCATGGAGCTGCACGTGCACGGCGGGCCGGCGGTGGTGAGCGGAGTGCTGCAGGCACTGGGTGAGCCTTCCCACCCCCATCCCCATGGGTGTCCCGTCCCCCCCTCACCCTCTCAGTGCTGATGGCTGCTCTCAGGGCGTCTGTCTGGGCTGCGTCCTGCTGAGCCGGGTGAGTTCACACGCCGTGCGTTCCACCGGGGGAAGCTGGACCTGACGGCAGCTGAAGGGCTGAGGGACCTCATCCATGCTGAGACCGAGGCGCAGCGGCAGCAGGCACTGAGGCAGATGGAGGGCGAGCTGGGGAGGCTGTACCAGCAGTGGGGCGAGACCCTCACCCAGGTGGGGGCTTTGGGGGGTTTTGGGGGTGCTCGGGGACGCGTGAGCTGTCTGTGCTGACTCCTGTGCTACGCCCCAGGCCCTCGCTCATATCGAAGCGTACATTGACTTCAGTGAAGATGACAACGTGGAGGAAGAGGTGTTGTCCCAAGGTGCCCAGTGGGGGTCTGATGAGGGGTCAGGGGGATTGGTGTAAGTTCTGGGTGCCAGGTGGGGATCTGGCCATCATCCCAGCCTGCTGCCACCCCTCTTGGCTCTCCTGGCACCGCGATGCCCACTGAGCACCGACAGCTCCAACGCTGCTCCAGCGCCCAACGCTGCCCTGTTGTGCTTACCCCACTTTGCTGTGGGGGGGGGGATGCACTGATCTTGCTGTTTCCTCACCCCCACCGCTGTGTTCTGGCAGTGGATGCAGCCGTGCGGACCCTGGAGCAGGAGATTGCTGCACACCTGCAAGATGGGCGCCGGGGGGGAGCTGCTGCGCTCGGGGGTCCGCGCCGTCATCGCCGGACCCCCCAACGTGGGCAAGAGCAGTCTGCTCAACCTGCTGTGTGAGTGGGGTGCGGGGGGCTCCGAGAGGCCGCCCCCCCATCCGAGGCAGAGCCACTTCCCCATCTCCATGCTGTAAGGGTGGGGGTCTCTGGCGTCATCCCCCTGAGCCCCGTGTCCCCCCTGTCCCCAGGCCAGCGCCCGGCTGCCATCGTGTCCCCAGTGGCGGGGACCACGCGGGACGTGGTGGAGGTGTCCCTGAATGTCAGCGGTTACCCCGTGGTGCTGAGTGACACGGCGGGGCTGCGTGATGCCACCGACCCCATCGAGCAGGAGGGAGTCAGCCGTGCTCGGGAGCGGTGAGCTGGGGGGGAGGGGGGGGGCTGAGCAGGTGGTGATACAGCAGGCTGTGTCCCCATGGGATGCATCTCCATGGGCTGTGTCCCTGCAGCCTGCAGCATGCAGACCTGGTGCTGGCTGTGTTGGATGCCACCACGGTGCCTGCTGAGCCGGCCGAGCTGGGGGCTGCCCTGGGCTCCTTGGTGCCCCCCACCACTCCCTGCATCCTGGTTCTCAACAAGGCCGACCTGCTGGGGGGGCGCACGGGGGCTCTATGTGATGCCTGCACCCACAGACCCCCGCTGCCCCCCACCACCCTGCTGTCCTGCAAGACGGGCGAAGGCACCGACAGCCTCTTACAGCTGCTGGGGCAGCAGCTGGCACAGCTGTGAGTGCCACGGATCCGGGGTTGGGGGGGCACAGGATGGCACCCATGCACAGATGGGTTTTGGTGGGGAGGGGAGGGGGTGGATGCTGCAGGGTGTTGTGTCCTCCCCTTCTACCCCTCCAGGTGCGGAGACCCCCTGGCTGGCTCTCCCAGCCTGACTCAGAGCCGGCACAGCACCCAGCTGGGGGGCTGCATGGCCGCCCTGGCGCTGTACAGGCAGCAGCAGGATGTGGGGATGGCAGCCGAGCAGCTGCGCCTGGCACGGCGACACCTGGGACGCATCACCGGGCACGTGGGTGCTGAGGACATCCTCGATGTCATCTTCAGGGACTTCTGCATTGGCAAGTGATGGGGGTCCGTGGGGGTATTAAACCGTGGTGCCTTGGGCTGGTCTGCGTCCTTGCCCTGTGCCGGGTGCGCTGCTCTCCGTGCCTGGGGGGAGCGCATCCTGAGCCCCCAGCCGTGGGAAAACCCTCTGGGAAGGGCCGCACTTCCTGGCCAGGAGGATACACACAGAGCTGGAGTGTTGGTGATGGAAAATCCTGCACTTTGTCCTTGGGTTTCCCCTCCCCATCGCACGGCATGGCGCCCATCGTGGTGCCCCAAGAGTGGTGGTGTGAGGATCCCAGCCCCAGGGGAGTGGGTGCCCTCTAAGGATGGGGGTCCCTGTGGCCCCCGTTGTTCTCCCACCCCCCAGATGGGGCTCCCAACAGTGCCACCGTGCATCAGGGCAGCCCCACCACGTGGCTTTGCTTGTCTCATGAGTGATGGGGGGGGATCCAAAGGGACCCAGGGGTGCTGGTGGGGGAGAGGGACACCGCAATGGCCTGAGGAGCGCTCAGTGTCACCGTGTGCTGATGGTGGCATGCAGGTGTTGCGGGACTGGGGCTGCAGCGTGCCGGGTGTCAGGAAAAGCTGTTTAAACAGGAAAGGGAGGAACACACGGCCATAAATCACTGCATGGCCATAAATCACTGCACGGCCATAAATCACTGCGTGGCCATAAATCACTGCGCCTCGGCCCCTGCGTGCCAAAGGTGGGGGTGGTGAGGGCAGCAGGGGCTGCAGGGCTTCTGGGGGGGGGGTTGGTGGGAGGCTCTGCTTTGGCTGGGAGCTTTGCGCTCTCTTCCCAACTGCACAGGGGTGGAAAGCTCCGGGTTTGGCAGCAGGATGGGGGGGAAATGGCAGCTGCCCCAGGGGGAACCTTGACCTGATTCCCACCCCCCCACACCCCCCTCCCCCATTGGTACTGGGGAGTCCCTTACATCCTTGGCTGCTGCTCGGCTACTTCTGGGAACAGCCCCCCCCCTCTTCCTGGTCTGTTTCCTCAGCCTTGCTGCCTCTGCAGCAGGACGGGATGTTCCTGTCCCCCCCACTCCTCCCCATGGCCTTTTTCCCCCTGTCCCAGCCCCCCCCCCCGCACCCCCCTCTCCAGCAGTAAAGCACGCATGCGATGAGTTGTGTCAGTGCTCAGCACAGGCTGTATTCACAGCAGCTCCATGTACAAACGTGGGTACCGAGCCGGGGGGGGGGGAGGAATGGGTAGGCATGGGTTGGGGGTTTGGGGAAGGGGAGGGGGTCGGGTGGGACTCATTCCTCGCTCACTCCTGGTTGGGGTTTTCCATCCGTGCTGTGGGAAGCGCCGCTCCGGGCTCGTCCTGCTGTCCTCCAGCCCCTCACCACGGCTCTCCTCGTGCTACCCGCTGCGAGGAGGGCACAGTCAGCTCTGTCTGCTCCCCATCCCTGGGGGTCTCCAGTGCCCACTCCCTCACCTGGGGTTCCTCATCATGGCCGTGTACTGCTCTATCACGCTCTGCACCACCTTCTGGATCTCCTCCGTATTGATTTTATCTGGCAGGATGAAAGCGGCGGGGTTCAAGCAGGGGGGCACTCAGTTGGGGCAGCGCCTGCTGGGGGTTGGACTCACCCTGATTCTGCAGCGCATCCGCATAGGTGCTGGGGAAGGGGCCTGGCCGCACGCTGCCCACAGCACTGCCTGGCACCCGTGGGGCGGTGTAGTAGGTGCCCACCTACAGAGGGGAGAGAGGTGCACGTCTCTGCTGCTTCCCCTGGCCCTTGCCTGCAGTGTGGGCTCAGCTCCGAGCACTGCTGGCACCAACAGGGCACGGGGACAGGGGTGGCACGGGGACGGGGGTGGCACAGGGACGGGGGTGGCACAGCATGGAGCGTGCGCCCTGTGTGCTAAAGGCTGTGAGCAAGAGCACATCTCCAGAGATACAGGCTTAAAAAAGGTGCGTGCAAGGAAGTGCCCATGCCAAAGTACGCCTGCCAAAGCGCCTCTGCAAAACCCTGCCTTAAACTCCCCATGCCCGGCTGCTCCCCACCTTGGAGCTCATGCAGATGTTGAGCTGCTCGCTGAAGTAGTTGGCTTGCGCGGCGGCTTTGCTCTTCTCTCCCAGCTCCTTGCTGAGCCGCTCCTTCTCTGCCAGCAGCTTCCTCTGCTCCTCCTGGCTGCCCTGCAGCTGCTGCCTCGCCTCCTGCAGCCTCCTGCCCAGCTCCTGCCTCTCGTGGGAGCAGTTGAGGTGGCACTGCTGCAGCGTCAAGTCGCAGACGCTCTTCCCCACGTAGTCGCTCTCGTGCTTCTGCTGCCTGGAGAAGAGCTCCTCGATGCGATGCATCAGCAGCCGCAGCTGATCCTCCACCTGGCTGCAGCCGAAGTTCTTGTTGCTCATGCTCATGGTGCGCAGGTTGTACAGCACGTTGGAGCGCAGCGTGTCGCATTCGCCCCTCAGGTGCTCCAGCTGCGCCTTGGTGGTGCCGCAGAGCGCGCCCGTGGCTTTCAGCTCCTGCTGGCAGCGTTCCTGCTCCTGCCTGGCCTTACCCAGAGCTGTTTCGGCCGTGCTGCAGCTCTGCCCCAGCTCCTTCCTCTGCTGCGTCGCCGTCTCCAGCTGCCGCTGCAGCTGCGCCTTGTCGGCTGCGTGGGGTGGAGGGTTGGGGTTGTGCCGTGGGACCCCCACCCATCGCCCTGATCCTCCCCTCGTGGCACTGCCCAGCCTGGGGGTAGGCCGTGTCTGAGCTCCCTAAGGGTTACTGGGGACCCCCGTGCACGGACTTTGAGGCAGTGGGGGATCTGTGGGTCCTCAGGTGTTGGGAAGGGGATGCCAAGGTTGGGGTTCCCCCTTACCGGTGCAGCTGGTGTTGATGATGTTGATGGCCATGTAGCACTTCTCCAAGTAAGAGTTTTGGAAGAAGATGGTCCTGCTGATCTCCTCCAGCTGAGGGAAAAGCAGGGGGGTGTTAAGGGGATGGGGTCGGCTTGGCCCCCACCGTCATCACCTCACGGCAGCGCCAGGAGCTCCTCCAGCACAGCCAAAGAGGTGGGGACCCCCGGGGATGGCTGTGTCCAGGGATTGGAGGGCCCCACACCCCTCACCCATCTCTGGGGTCTCAGGCAGAGGGTCCTCACCCATCCCTCCGGGTTTCTGAGCAGGGGGTCCACACCCCACACCCCTCACCCCCCCCCTATGGGCTCCGGGCCAGCGCTTCCCCCCAGCTCTCACCCTGGGGGTGCTGTTGGGGGCCTGGCTGCTGTTGCACTTCTCCAGCTGCCCCTGCACCTTCTGCAGCTGCCCCTGCAGCCCTTGGTTGGCCTTCAGTGTGGCGTTCAGGGTGCGTGTCAGGTTGGCGTTCCGGCCGCTCAGGGTGATGATTTTATGGTAGTGCTCCTGCAGCTGCCCATCCAGCAGCTGGACGTGCTTATCGGTGCCGGCGTGCGCGTTGCCGTACACCATGAAGAGCACCAACCCCAGGATGATGAGGAACTGGATGAGGGAGGTGAAGAGGAAGACGTAGCGCATGTAGAAGGCGCAGTCCCTTTTGGGCATCACCTGTTTGCTCTCCAGCCCGAACTTGGCCATGCCGTAGCCGCTCTTCTCCATGCTGCCCGCGCTCTGCTCGCCGCACCCCAGGGCTGTCCCTTTCTACGGGGTCGGGGTGGAGCCGGCTCCCCAGCCGTGTTTATATTGCTCTATTTAATATTTCCTTTCGCTGGGCTCCTTCCTGCCTCTCCGGATGCCTCCGGGTTATCACGGTGCAGCTTCTGTTTGCTGCAGGGCCATTGTTCCCCGTTGCTATAGGACGGGGGCACAGCTCAGCCGTTCCCCCCCCTCCCCAACCCTCCCCGCTGCTGATGGGGATCACATCTCCCCTGGGACCCCACTGCCAGCACTGCCAGGCACGCAAGGGAATGGCTGTCGTGCAGCCCTGGGGGGCAGTGGGCAACGGGGGTGCATTGGGAGGGTGATGAAGACAGACCCCTCCCTCCACACCACCCAGGGCTCACGTCATCATTGCGACCTGGAGATCTTGGGGGGGGGGGGGCACCCATGGGTGCTGCAGTGTTCCCATGCCTTATGCCCTGCTGGGGAAATCACCGGAGGGGGGGGGGAGCACAGCAGGCCCCTCTGAGCAGGGGGCAGCAGGGGGGGGCTGAGCTGGGCTGAGTGCCCTGAGATCCCCACTGAGGGGACTCAACTCCCACCCCCATCAGGTTCCGCTGCTGCGCCTGCAGCGCTGCCTCGTGCTCATCGCCATCCCAAATCTCACCAAGTCACTCTCTTATTTCTGATGAATCTTTGATAAATCGCAGCTGGACATCACTGTACACGTTTCCTTTTCTCTCTTCTGAGTGACACCACAGAGCTGTGAGCCCTGAGGGGACACAGTGCCCGCTCAGGGGACACTCAGGACCCATTCCCCATATTTATGCTGCCCTTCCCCAGCAGCACTGCAGCATTCCCAGCCCGGGGGGGGAGGTCAGGGGCTGCGAGGTGCCAGCGCTGACCCCGCTGCTTCCTGCCCTCACGCTCCCTGGAGCCCGCCGGTGTCTGCGGCGCTGGGGACGGTGTCGGTCCCCCATCCATTCTCAGCTACCACATTTCCTTCCTGAGCTGCAAATAACAGTGAGTCACCCCCCGCTCCCCCCCCGGCCCCACTCTGGGGGCACCGTCTGGGCTCTGCTGGACCCCGACCTCACTTCTGGTCCCAGAGCCTCCCGTGTCACCGACGGCACCGTTCACCCAATGGGACGCACCTCACGGTCAGCCGATCCTCAGCAGCGCTCTGCATCCATCGAGGTGTTCAGGCATCCCCACGGGACCCCTCCCCCCCCCCCCCCCACCGGCTCAGCCCCCTCCCACACACACTTTCTGCCTCTTTGTCCCATTTTCCAGACGGCGTCCCGGCTATAATTAATCCTTCCTGTGCCAAGGGCTGGGGCTGCCTTGAGGTTGGACCATAGGAACGGGTCCTGCCCACCCCGACGCACGGCTGGGTGGGGGGCACCGCCGGATTTGGGGCTGTGAACCCCTTCCTGCAGCCCCTCCTTGCCTGGGGGGCGGTGGGGGTGATCCCCCCCTGTGGGGCAGGGGGGCCGGATGCCTGTTCTCACCCTGCCCTCTGCACAGGATACCGCTGTGGCAGCGGCAGGAAAATCGGCAGCAACTTTCCTGGAAACTGTCTTTCGTGTGGATCAAAGGAACAGGGAAGAGCTGGGAATCAGTGGCAGCCGCTCATCCCTCCCATCCCTCCCCCACCCCCACAAGTGGCTCAGCCCCACAACCAGCAGAGCCCAGTGTTGGTAACCTGCACAGTGCCCCCTAAGCACTGAGCTGGCCAAATTACATTGAGCAGTAAGGGGTCGAACTTCATGGAGCACTATTCCTGTTTAATCAGTAGATGAACAGAATTAATGATTAATGAACGGCTCTGGCTGGCCTCAGGGCAAGGACTGGTCACCATCTTCTGGCCCCAGCAAGCAAACAGCACCCAAAGCTGCTCAGTGTGTTGGGGGGGGGGGGGGGGGAGGGAACGAGACGAGACGAGGGGATGTGGGGAGGATCATTGGTGCTGTGCCCACTCCGCTCTGCTGAGTTCAGAGGGGATGAGCTGCTGCTGGTTTTAGTGCTGGTGGGATTGGAAGAAATGGGCAACCCTGGTTCCTGCTGCTGTAGGGCTGGCGCCATCCCATGCGTGGTGTCCGTGCTGGCAAAGAGGGGCTGGACAGGAGGGTGCTATGGGGCTTCAGCTCTTCCTGCAAGAAGGAGCGGACAGCACAGAGTGAGACCCCGCAGGGACACAGCGACAAAGGGGTGTGATGGGAATCATGCAGCCATGCTGTGCCAGACGAGCCCCCACCATAGGGTGCCCGCTCCCAAAAGGAACAGGGCCGAAAGGCAGAGCAGCACCCACTGGATGTACCGGGAAGGGGAGCACCTGCGCCGTGCCGTGCGGGGCCCCAAGCGCCGCCGCAGCGCATCCAGCTCAGCTGCACGGTCCTTCCTGCAGGCAGAGCACAGCGGGGTCAGGGACATGGATAGGGACGGGATGGGGATGGAGGCAACCCTGGGGCCGGGATCCTCACAGCGTGGCCTCGAGCTGCCGCTGCCGCTCCTCACATCGCTCCCCGCGTGCCCTCAGCGCTCTCCGCTGCTCCGCCATCTCCTCCAGTCTCTGCTGCAGCCCCAGCGCCAGCTCTGCGCCCTGAGCCAGCTCCTCTGCGGGGCAAAGGGACGCCTTGAGCTGGGTGCACGGCCAGGTGACACCCGTGTGGGTTTGGGGCTGGGTGGACAGACGCACCTCGCTGTGCTGCGTTCCTGCGGGACAGCTCAGCCCTGTCACGCCGCAGCCCCTGCACCTCATCCTGCAGCGCTGTGATGTTGGCTTCCAGCCTGGCCTGGGGACACCGTGGCATTGAGATGGGGCACAGCCTGCCCCTGGCTCGCTATCATCCTCCCTGGTGTCCCCAGAGCCGTCCCTGTGTTCTTGGCTTTGCGTCCCGTTATCACACTGGGAAGGTTTCTCCAAGGGTTTAGGGCATGGATTTGGGGGAAAAAAAAAAAATCACACAGTGAAGGGCCGGCTGGTGCCTGGTCTTGGTGAGGACGCACATGGAGACACAGAGGGTTTGCAACTCACTGAGGCACTGCAGAGCCCCCTGCCCAGCCATGCGCTCCTCAAGAGGCCAGGCACTCCTGCTGGACACCAGCAGATCCCACTGGGACCCCGCAGTCGGCGCCAGCCCCGAACGCCAGAGTGTTTCCAGCACCTCTGGGCCATTGTCCGGCCGGATGGGGGGGAGAGGTGGGCCCCTTTTCCTCTGGCCGCAGCGCAGGGCCGAGCCCTTTCCCAGCTGCTAAAAATACCCCCGAGGAGAGGAGCTCCACACCAGCCTGCAGCCTCCACTGCTGCTTTGGGATGCAGTAATTATACGTGTGTGCAGCCACTCAGTTTGGGCTCTGCTAAGAATAGCCATCCCAAGCTGGGCACAGGGAACCGGACAGCAGCTTTCCATACCCCAGTGGGGGCTGAGGCTCCCCGGCAACCAAACCACCCTGGAGACAGAGCATCCTCACGGATCCTTTCTCAGCCCAGCATCGCTCTCCTCAAGTATACAACCCCACAGCAGGGAAACGATGCCCAGGGACCCCACACACCTACCGCCTGCACCCGGCAGGACCGCAGGCTGGAGCTGAGCTTCTCTCCATCCTTGCGCACTCGGCTGAGCTCCCGGCGCAGCGCATCCTCCTCCCTCCGTCTCTCATCAGCCACGTGCTGCAGTTGGTTGAGCTCCATCTCCAGCTGTGCCACTCGCAGTTCCAGCGCACGGCTCTCGTTGGCCGCCCGCTCCTGGCAGCCCCGCAGCTTCCCCAGTGCCTCTGAGCGCCACAGCAGCACCGCCACCGCCGCCGTCACCGCCGCCACCAGCAGCACCAGCAGGGTGCACAGCCCCATTGCCTTCAGCGTGGCTCTGGGCACTGCAGGGTCCATGCTGGGGACGTGGGACAGTGCCACACAATGTGCCCGGCTGCTCCAGCTGGTGGTTTCTCTTCGGTCACAGCCCATGGTGGCGTGGTTTGTGTTGTGCGTGGGAGGATGCTCAGCCCCTGGACAAAGCCAGGCTGCGGGGCTGTGCCGTCCACCACCCCAAAGGACACTGGAGCAGCAGAACGCTTTGGATTTGCATGAAGTTTTACTGGAAATCAGCTTAGACCCACCGAACCGTGTGGCACCGCTGTCCCCCTGAATGTGCCTTGTCCCATCTCACCCCTCGGGCCAGCACTTGGCAAACCACCTCCCCCTGGTTTCCCTGTGGCCCCACACAGACAGGGGCCACCCGGGTCCGTGTCGCTGTGCTCAGTGCAGCCACTTTGCAGTGAGCAGCGTCACGAGGAGGCTCAGGGCCATGGCTGCACCGGAGGGCATCACTGTGCTCCCACTGGAACTGCTGCTCCATAAGTCCCGGATCTGTGCTGACAGCCTGTGGATCTGCTCCTGGATCTGCTCCTGCAAGCTGCTCCTTGGGGGACAACAGGGGTCAGTGACAGAGAGCAGGGATGGGGTCGCAGTGGGGGAGCACAGATCTCACCTGTGCTTCTGCACCTCCTCCAACTGCGCCTTCTGCTGTGCCCCCTCCTCCTGGAGCACCCTGCTGTCCTCTGCAGGAGGTGATATGGGGTCAGGGTGACCCATGGATGGGGAGCGTGGTGCCGGGAAGGGGAGGGGTGGGGGAAGGCCCACAGTGCCCAGGTGTCACGGATGGTGCCCCAGTGCTCACCTTGCAGTTGCTTGATCACAGCCTCCTGCTTCTCCTTATGCTGCTGCAGCTGGGAGATCTGCTGCCCCAACTCCACGACGAACTTCTGCATGTTATCCTGAGCACAGGGACAGGACACAGCTCAGCAAACCCCACACCCAGGGGTCCCTGTCCCGCACCCCACACTCACCAATTGACTCCTGCAGTCATCCCACTTCTTGAGCATCTCAGCGAGGGACGGGTTGGTGATATCCACCATGGTGGTGAGGGTCTGGTTGGTGGCAAGCAGTGCTTGCTCCAATGCAGCCACCTGCACCCGCAGCTGCTGCTGCACCCCCAGCAGCCGCGTCAGCCCCTCCAAACCGGCCACTCTCCCTGTCCCCATCCCCAGCCCTGTTTCTTGCTCTGGTTTGGTGGCCACCAGCCACAGATAGGAGAGCAGGGCTGCAGCCAGCAGCACCACAGCCAGCAGCGCGACCACCAGCCCATAGACCTTCCAGTCTCGCCTGGGTTTAGGGTGGCAGTCTTCACTGTAGTCCAACATACTGCCCTGCTCAGCCATTGCTCCCTGCACCGGGCTGGGAAGGTTTCTCACCCAGAGAAGCTGCGAGCTGAACCCAAATTCTGTTAGTTTTGTTTCTCAGATAATGGTATTTTCCCAGAAAACCACGCGATTGGTTCAAGGGCAGCAGCAGGGGGGGGTGGTGGGGGACGAGGGGGAGGTCAGCGTCCTTCCCAGGGACAGCAGGACTGGATGGCATTGGCTCATCCCATAGTGCTGACCTGTTCCCTGTCTGGGGCTGTTCCACCCCCACGTCCTTGGGGGTGGGAGGCAGAACTGAGGGCTGCAGGGAGTCCCTGAGAGTGGGAGTGGGGCAGAGCGTTCCCCAGGGGAAGGGGACAGAGGGATGTGGAGAAATCTGATGTGCAGCGTTTGGGGTTTGAAAAAGCCATGTGGGTTCCTTGAGGTATGGGGTGTGCTGGAATAGGGCAATGGGTAGCTGAGTAATCAGGGCATGGGGTAATTAAGATGTGGGGCAATGGGGGTGTTGGCTGCTCAGGGTTGGATGGTGGATATGGGTGTGGGATAAGGGATGCTAGATATGGGATCTGCCCCGTGGGATGTAGATGTGCCATGTTGGGTGGTTGGATCTGGGCTATAGGATGAGAGACATTAGATATGGGGTGAGGATGGGCACTATGGGATGTTGGATATGGGAGTAATGCCATGGAAGGCAGAGCAATGACAGCAAAGCAGCAAGGTCCCAGACCCCACCAAGTGAGGGCTTGCTCAGATGCAACAACCCTGAGCACAGAAATAAAGGAAAAAAGGCTGCTTACCTTCAGAAGGCCTCAGGCATGCAGGAAGAACTCCTCAACTTCACTGCCAGCCCATAAATGAGGGCTGGGAAGGGGTGGATCCTGGTTCCACCCTTTCTGGTCACTCAGGTGCACTGGATTGGATTGGATTGCATTGCATGCACCTGCGCTCCCCTGGGCTGGCCCTGCCTTCCAACCAGGTGCTCCATCACTGCTTCAAGCTGTGCTATGGCATTTATGCTACCACAGGTTATTGGGTATGAAATGAGGGATAGAGAGTGTGAGATGTGCTGTGTGGGATGCAGATAAACCACGGGGGGGGGTGTGAGGATAGGGGCTATGGGATGCGCAGTGCAGATTGTGAGGCGGCGGCTGTGAGATCCTGGATATGGGAGAAGGGATGTGGGATTTTGGGACGTGGGTTAATGGCCGTGGCGGTGATGGGCCAACAGTTGGACTCCACGTGGGGTGGTGGGGGACGTGAGTCGCCTCTCAGTGCCCTTCCATTGGCAGCCAGCAGCCCTATGGATGCTCTGCCTCCGACCCCCCCCCTTCCCGCAACCCTCAGTTCATGTTTTTAATGCCTCTGGTTCATCTGAGAAAAACACCAAAACAACCGAAAAAAAGAAAAAGAAAAAAAGAGAAAAAAAGCAAAACCGTGGCACTGAGATGAAAAACACACAACTATGTACCAAACTTTGAGCTCTGAGTCAGATTTCTGCCATCTGGAGGAGCGAAGGGCTCTGGCAGAGCGCTGAGCTGTCGGCACAAGGGCCCTCAATGCGATGCCGCTGTTATTTATGGGATCCTGAAGGTGAGCGGAGGCCAAAGGTTTCAAAAATAGCCCAAGAATGGGGATGGATGTGTTTTCCAGCAGCGGCCCATAGGGAGCAGTGGGAGATGGGGGCGTAACGCCTCACACCGGTCTGAAAAGTGACTGCAGGCAGAATGCGGCCCCAGAGGGCAGTTCTGGGGGTGGGGATGCGTTTCGGGTCGGGATCAATCCAAGGTTTTCTCGCCTTGCATTCACGGCCACGTTTTGGATCGCGATCCCCCTTTGCTTTTCACCCAAACCCGGGGTCGATGTGCCGGGGGGCACGGGGGGCTGTGGCCTTGCCCCGACGTTATGGATGGGCCACGAGGGCTGCCCTCCCCGCTGCTCACCGCGTGTTTTCCTCCTGCTCCGGCAACGCCGCGTCTCTTGGCCAGACGGACAGGAATTCTGCAGCAGGAGCTGCCACGGGTGGGGACGGAGCTGGCACCTCCCGTGTCCCATATTGACACCCCCCCCCCCCCCAAGGAGGCTGGGGCCGGGGGCAGGAGAGTCCTCTGGGCCCCCCCCACAAGGGTCATCACCCCCATAAGGACCAAGTGTGGCGCAGGGAGAGGAGCTGCTGGGATCATTTGGGGCTGCAAAGAGTGCAGCGTGGGGGGGAGGAGGGGACGCAAGGAGCTGCGCCCCCCCCCGGGAGCAGCGAGGGGCCGAGCGCAGCGTGCAGCGTCTGCTGTTCCCTGCTGCTTTCATCCCTTGCCTGTGTGTTCCCTCGCAGCCTGGAACGTGGCTTTCTCTCCTATTTCGGGCTGGAGTTTTGGCCGCCGCCTTTTGTTATTTCAGTTTAGGCGCTCTCATTATATTTTCCATTATTTAAAAGAAAGGGGGGAAGGGGGGGAAAGAAAGAAAGAAAGGAAGAAAAACCACCAGACCCAGAAGCGAGAGAGCTGCTTCCCAAGTCGCATTCCAGCCCACGGCTCTGCTCAGCACAACCTCTGCTCACTGCCAGCACCGGGACGTGCTTGGGGGCACCCATGGGTGCTGCACCCGGCGGGGTGGGGGGCTGAGCAGCACTGGCATCCCCCAGACAAGAGCGGCTCTGTGCCACATCACCTCCATCCCCATCCTCCCAACAATAGGGCACTTCTGACTCCAAAACCATTGCTTTGCAGCAAAGCCCCCCCCCTCCCCCCAAGGCTCCCCCTCCCTCTCCATCAGTGGATGCAGCCTGCCCACCCCCCAAAACCCCGGCGCCCCCCGGTGGGTTTGGCTGTGTGCTCTCTGCTCAGGAGGCCCAGAACGGCTCCATGCTGCAGCGGTGGTCCTCAGCTGCTCTCTGCTTCGCACCACAGTGATGCGTTCTGCATCGGGAAGGGGGGGGGGAAGGGGGGGGGGGGGTGTTATTTTGGTATCCCCGGGGTGGGCAGAGGGTGCGGTGCGGGTGCAGCCGGGTGTGAGGGCACGAAGGGATCCCAGGAGGGTTTGGCCGCAGCCCCCAGCCCGGCCCTGACACCGGGCGGGATTCCAGCCCACGGGAACGCGGGGTTGGGCCGCACACCCAGCACGGACCTCCCGTGCCCGGCCCTCTATGACGGTGGGGGGGAAGCCCCGAGCGTCTCCTCGCAGCCCCCTCCCGATCCGCAGAGCCGGGAGGAGCTCGGGAGCGGTGCGGGGAATGGAGCAGCGCAGGTGGTGCGGAGGAGCATTCAGGAGCCCCCGCAGCCCCCGCTCGCAGGAGGACGTTTGTCCCGCAGCCTTCAGGCTCGGACCTGCTGATGGAATCGCCACGAGCCGCCAAGCATCTTTTTTTCTTTTGCCGTTTTTCATCCCCTTTCGTCAGAAATCGCAGCGGGAGCGCTTTCCTTCGGCCCCCCGACCGAGCCGAGCAGACGGCGGAGAGCAAACCCACCCGCTGGCGCTTCGTCCGCAACCCACAGCAGCAGCTCCCATCTCCCCCCCATCCGGCTGAGGGGACGGGGCGCTGAAAGCCCCCCCGGGGTGGGCAGTGCAGGGGACGGGGTTCACATCTCGGCGTTTAAGGGGAAGAACGCGGGGTCGGAGCGCTCCCCCCTCAGCAGCATCCGACGCGTCCGCGGCATTTCCCCTCCGGGGGGAGCGGCGGGGCCGGGTTTTGGCTGCCGAAGCGCCCAGGGGTGGTTTTGGCACAGCAACCTTCCCCCCTCCCCACGTCCCCCCGGGTGCTCCGTCCCCTTTGATCTCGCCAGCGGTAGCAT